TTTTTGTAACTGAAATAGTTTTTAAAATTTTTTCTTTCTTCAAGTATTTTCCTATACAAATCATTGTTGTTCTAATGGTCATATTTACTAGTCAACCAAACGCTTCTACAATTAGAAAATAATACAAGCTCGGAATTAGTGTCGTGGTTCATAAAATTGAGATATGACACATGAATTCTCCTCAAAAATGCCTACTAGATAAAAAAAAATGAGAGAATTAGTAGATTTATGTCTTGTGCTTCTAGTGATTTGGAAATATTATTACACTCGTAATAGATAAAAATGAGATTGAAAGGAAGAGGATAAGAAAATGAATAATTTTGATTGGTATTTTAATTTTAGACGAGGACAAAAGAATAACTAGATGGAAAAATGTGTGTAAGGGAGAGAGAATGACTAATGACGCCTACTTTTTGCACCTTTTCAACATTTTAGTTTTCTGTTAAAATTAATTGTGTGTCATTGGATTGAACTGTTGGACCCACATCATTTAACTAAAGGTTTTTTTTTTTTGTTGGTTTTGGATATTTTTATGGATTTAATTTTTATAGTTTAGATTATATAATATTTGGGAAAATATAAATCGATACAAAAATATATACTTATTTGAAGGAAAATATAGTATAAAAAAAACTTTTTGGTCAAAAGTACATGTAATTGGAAAAAGACGAAAAAGCATCAATTAAAAGCAAAACTTGCAAAATTTAGTTTTTTTTGAAATCATCCATATTCCTTATCACATTAAACACAATTCTGACAAATAAAGACAAAAAAATCGATGGTTTCTTCCTATTTCTTTGTCAGTTTTTGAAATTTGAAACACCATGTTCCATATCTATAAAGAACTGGATTTGCTACCTATAGAAAACCAAATCGATAATTTCTTTTTTGGAGGAAGACCATCCAAAAAATCTCTGGCAAATTTGGGCTTCATGTTCTTACTGTTGTCGGAATAATCTGCACCAAATCGTAATATCAATGACTATATGATTTATTTTTTTGGTGTCACTCCGATGAAACTGTTCAGTGTATCTCATTATTATATCTATTTGATATAAATGGATGGTGCAACTGTATGGTTTTACCCTTTGGTGTCCCTGTATGGTGTAGCGCTTTGTTCTATTTCTTTAGTGTATGTCGTTGGTGTTACTAGATAGTAAAACTCTTCGTTGTATCTCGTTGTTATATTTTTTGGATGTCACTAGATGGTGAATAGGTGGTATAACTCTTTCTTTGGTGTGACACGCCGGTATAACTCTTTGGTGTATCTTTTTGGTTTATCTTTTTGGTGTATATCTTTTAGAGTATCAATACAACGACGTTTAAGAATGCCGAATTCAGATTGAGAGAGAGAAACGCCTTAAATATGCATGGGAGAGAGAAAGAGTTTGAAAGAGAAAATAGATGGAGTGGGAGAGAGAAAGAGAAAAAATAGGGAGAGAGTAACGGTGAGAGAAAAGTGAGAGATAGGGAAAGAAAGTTTCTCTCAACTAAGTTTTTAAAATGTACCCACCCCCAATTGTCCTATATTACACCGACAAACTTGAGGCCTCTTTTTTTAATTGGGCTTAAAGGCTTGATTTAGTTACAGTTGGGCCTATGGCCCTGCTTTAGTTGCGTTTGGGCCTCACTTGTACAACACTTGTAGCAGCAATGAAAAAACAGGGCTTTATCTCAGATCCCTTTTCTCGGTCCTCCTTCAAAACCCCACTTTCTCTCCCTAGGGTTTCTGTGTCTCCTCCACCTTCCTATCCCAACTCGCCCATACAAACCCAGAACAAAACCCTTTTAAAAGCTTTATCAATCTATCATGAAGACTGTTTCGGGCAAAGTCGAATCTACGAAGCCAGTCTCTCTCTCTAAAGCAGCGAAAATTTTGTCCAATTTCGTTTCCTTCGACAATGGAGCTCCTCATGCCGTGTCTGTATATCTCAGACGCGCTTCGGCCTCATTCAATGACTTGGTTCAGTTCCACAAAGAACTTAAAGCTAAGCAATCCGATCGCAAGCACAAGAAGCATCGGCATAGCAATATAAGCGATGAAACCTCGATGAAGGTTGAGCAAAATTCACAAGAAGCTGCAGAAGAGAGTGTCCAAAAAGTGGAGCATAGAGGGAAACGCAGGGAAAACGAAAACCCGATAAACGTTGAGCAGAACCCATATGAAGTTGAAGAAGATAGGGTCAGAAATTTGGAAAGTAGTGGCAAACACAAGAAATATGAGAATGCGGTAAGGATCGGGAAAAACCCAGATGAAGCTGAAGAAGAAAGACTAGAAAATGTGAAGCATAGTCGCAGACACAAGAAAGAGAAAAACCGAATCGAGAATGAGCAGAATTCATATGAAGTTGAAGACGGTAGAGTTGGAAATGGGGAGGGCAATGCCGGGAACAGAGATAAGAAGAAAAAGAAAAAGGATGATTATGATGATGCAGTTGTGGGTAGTTTTGAAGTAGAGGAGGAAAACAGGAAGAAGAGGAAGACCCGGGAGGTTGATGAGATGGAGATTGTTGGTTTAGCTGAGCAGAGTGGCTTGAAGAAGAAGAAGAAGAAAAGGAGGAGGGAAATTGGAGGAGATGAGTAGTGGTAACTCATTTTTCTGCATTGTTGTGGCTATTGTTACTTGATAGTTGATTAAAGAAGCTTTTACTTTTCTGCAATCAATGGGTTGTGGATCATTTGAAAATTTGGTGGTGGTAATCTCTGGTGATCGATGTTCCTGCATTTTTCTGGATGTTTGTTATTTTATGATGATTGAAGGGGGTATTATTCTTGAGCAATTTGATGGGTTGTTGGAGATGAGTAGTGGTGTTCGATGTTTCTGCATTGTAGCTCTTATTAATTTATAGATGATCTAAGGAGGGTTTGTTTTTGAGCAATTATAGGGGGATCTCTAGGAAGTTTGGTGGTGGTAATGTCTTTCATGTAATACTAGAGAAATTTTGTACCTTTTAACAGTCACCAGATTTAAATGTCAGAATATATTTTTTATGTGGTTAATGAAATGCTCCCTTTTTGATAGAACTATTGGCGCAAAGTGTTCTGTTTCTTCTGAATATAATCTCTATATGGAATAAATGGATGTTGATATGAGTGACTATAAAACAAGGTGGAAACTCTCCTTCGCAGCACCAGATTTTCATATACCACGAAGTATTGCCAATGAAACAAGTGCGGTATAGGACTTTATTCAGGTTGTGCTTCTGTTGTAGCTTTACTTGTGTTTGTTGATCATAGAAGTTGCAGTTACCAGGGTAAATGTCGGATGGTTTTCAAGTGTGTTCTGTTTGTTGCCATGGCGGTGTTGTTGCCGTGATCATTTTGTCCTGTTAGACATTGATGGTAGCGAGATACTACTGAATAGGTTTGTAGAGTATATTATAATTTTATGCATTACAGACTCTGAAAAGAACTGGAGCGGTTCCTGATTCGCACTATAATTGTGTTACCAGAAATATAGATACGTTTGATTATTTTCTATCTGTCTAAATCTAGTCTTGCTTTATTTTATGACATAGTAGCCTTGGATTGTGCTGGAGATTCTTTTACTTTGTGTGATCTATTCCTACATGGTTACAAACACATCAAGTTAACATACAACTGAAATGTGAGCAAACAGAGAAGAAATGTAATCAAAACAATCAAGCACAGGTTAACCACCTTCCATTTTCTCAACTTCTCATAGTTTGTATGCTTACATTGTATGACTTTGAAATTCTTTTGCATCTGAAAGATCAATTTTCAGATGAACCCAAAGTCCAAATGGGTGTTGACAAAAGATTATTACAGAAAGCATTACAGAAAGAATATGAATTCATATATACATTATGTTGATTGGAGCATTGGATGTGGATATTGGATAGCATACCATCAGTTTGGATAATCGGAGATGGTTATCTGTAACTGGGACTCAGACACATAACGCCTAACGAAAGCTCTTTTCCACCAAACTTCGAATGCTCTCTGAATATTGGGACAGTCATCCCCTTTGTTAAGAAATCGATCAAACCAATTAAGCAAGATAGTTTGTTGCTGAGGCAAAGGCAGAGTCAGAATTGTCTGGCCTAGTCCATCCTCAACGAGTTTTTTGTCCACTGATCTATAAGCCCTCCTCATCCACCCAAAGTCCTCATACAGAGCTTCTAACCATGTGGAAAGAAGTGAATAACGGGTCTCTTTTGGCACCAAAATATGCCCTCTCCCAATTGCAATACAAAGTTGTGCAGTGATCCTGCTTATTTCGTGCCTGTACATGGTGGGAATTTTTGAATGGAGAACAGCAAGCTCCTTCTGATCCGCCCACAATTTCACAAATTCATCCCCCAATTTTCTATCAATTAGAATATCAACAATCCACTGCATATTGTCAGCTTCTCGAGCTATCTCACCCATCAAAACACCTCGATCCCGCCTGCTTTCATCCATGCATGTAGCTTCAGATAAGCACAGTATAAGAGAACTTAGGCATCCATGGCAAAGATGAAGAAGGGTATCTTTGGAGATATCAAGCCTATTGCTGTAACTACTGTGATCAGATGCATCTTCTCTAAGCAATCGAGAAATTAACGTTTTCATATCCCTGCGGGCTTTATCATCCTTGGCTTGTAATACACCAGTCAACAATCTCAATAAGATGTCATCAGCTCTTGTAGACATGGATGGCTCGGCTGAAACCCTCTGCAAAACATCAGTGACTGAGTCCTGAATCTGAAGTTCACTAAGATGGGATACCACTTTGTCCTCTTCTTCCTCAGACCAAGGAATTGCTTCCAAATACTCCAAACATGATATTATCCCAGCATCAAACATGATAGCTGCAGATACCTGGAAGAGGACACTGGGTTGAGAGAAATTTTACATTTTTAATAAGAAACAAAACTTTCAATTCATAGAAAGAGGAACATTTTACATGGCAGACCAAATTAAGATTATCAAAAGGGACAGGGTTTTCTGGATTTGTAACTGGAAAAACAGAGTGCAAACATATCGGCCTATCCACATTTGACATCATTCTTTCCCTTCATTGTTGTTACAAACAATCAAATTCATACTGATATCCAACATTGAGCTGAAAGGCAGAGACTGTCGTCCTTGTGGTCTGTTCCATACTAAGAACATTGAGGACAATAATAAAACTAAAATTTTGGTTTCTAAATAAAACAAATGTAAGAACTTCCGGTTTCCAATCTCCCGGTGAAATGAAACTCTCTCTTCATACGAATTTCATAGCTTCTTTTCCTTTCCCACAGTTAATCAACTACCAACAGTACCATCTCATATAAGTCACAACCACAAGCAAAAACAGACACACTCATAACCAAATCCCATTGCATCTAATTAAAGAACTTGAATTTGCAAAACTTGTTTTTTTGCTTCAATTCCTCAAATAAAAATCAATTTTCCCCACATTTTCTATGCACAACACAGAACCATTTCTGACTAAACCACTTCATAATTCCCCAAACCCTTCGACAAAATCATCTATCACAACCTTCTCCCATTAAAAATCATTATAAACCCAATAGCATTATTCCAAAAACCCTTAAATGAAGTTGTCTATCAACAAATCTACATTGCTCATACCAACATGTTGAAGAAAACAAACTGGAGTGAAATTTAAAAAAAAAAAAAAAAAACTAAAAACACAAACCTTTAACAAACCCAAGATTTTGGAGACCTCCTCACCCATCAATTTTCTCTTCAAATCCTCACAATACATCAACACAAGAGTCTCTACATACACCTCAACATCATCAACCTCACAAATCTCCACAGAGTGGGATCCACTTCTTCGCAACTTCTCGGCAAAGAACCTGCTTTTATCAGCAAGAACCCTCTTGTGCACATCCATAGAAACGGTAAACCCATCAGTCGCAGTGATTGTGAGCTTCACATCACCAAACCCTAAAAAGCCATCAGGGTTTCGAAATGGGGCTTCAGCTAAAACCCTAGAGATTCTTTCTTGGAGTCTATGGCGGGTCTCCAGGGTCTGTTTGGACTCTCGTGTCTGTTCCTCTGACATCATTTCGAAAAGGGTCGGGCTTGATCGGCTCGGACTTGGGCGGATTTGGTTCTGGGTCTGGATGGGTGAGTTGGGATAGGAAGGTGGAGGAGACACAGAAACCCTAGAGAGAGAAAGTGGTGTTTTTGAAGGAGGCCCGAGAAAGGGATCTGAGATAAACCCTTGTTTTATCATTGCTGAGACTTGATGCTTTGATTTGCTGCAGGTGTTGTGATTGTTCTCAGAAGCCATTGAAGGAGCTGTCTTTGTGTGTGTGTGTGTGTGTGTGAGAGAGAGAGAGAGAGAGAGACAGACAGACAGACTCCAAGAAAAAGCAAGAAGCTCAAGAAATATGTAAGACAGTGCTGAGCTTTAGCTTTGGATCTGTATATACTATCTAGTGCAGGTGACAGTGGATTAGTTGTTAATAAATTAAAACGGTAAAAACGGCTTATTAAAAAAAGGGCGGGGGATAACATATTGGGTAGGTGGGAACAGTAGAAAAAAGATATTTTATTAATTTTTTTACTTACAATACTAATTAATTGTATTTTTTTGTGTCTAACATTAATTGAAAAATATATTTTATAGATTTTTTAAATTTTTTACATAGTATTATATAATTTACTTTAGAATTAAATATTTGTTATTGAGACGAATGGTAACACAAATACAATCTAAATAAAAATGACACGACTTAAAAATGACATAATAGAACACGATACGAATTAATACCCTTAAAATTTATGGAGGGTGGTCAATGCAAATTTTCATACTCGTAGGGATCAACAAACCACAAAAGTCAATTTTAATTGATTTTTTTTGGTTATATTATATGATACAATGGACTTTATATATATATATATATATATATATATATATATATATATATATATATAGATATTTAGTCATAATCCGTACTTAAAGACACGATGAAATATAAAATTCAAGTGTCTAAAAAATCGATCATACTATATTAAATTTTTTCAATATACATATATTATCGTATATGGATAATGTTTGAAAGAAAAATTATGTTAAATTATAAATTAATCAAATATTAAATGATTGAACATGTGATAGAAATAAATTATGTAATATTTTTAAGAGGAAAAATATGTAAGAGATAAAAATTTAAATTGTTACGTGGTTTATTATATTGATAGAAATATATATTAGGCATTCCAAAATGTGAGAGTTCTTCTACTGTTAATATAGAAGTAGAAGAACAGCAAAACATAATAATGACTAGAAAACGATTTTGAGAGAAGTTTTGTGCACAGAAAAAGGAAGGTGGGGGTGATTGGGAGAATTTCGAGCGACAAAAGTGTTACTTTGTTGCTTATTGTTGCCTTTGGCGCAGCAACAAAACAAATAAGCATCTCTATCTCTCTGCATTTTAATGGGTCATCTTTTTATGAGGTCACTTTCCACAAGTCCATATTTGTTGGGTCCAAAAATAAGGATTTTCGGATTAATTTATGCGTATTTTGAATAATTTTTTGTACACCATCTTAACATAGACCGTTAGATAAATAAGAGAATCTACGGTACTGCTTGGTCAAATAATGGTACCGTACCACTAAAAAAGTGTGGCTGTAAATTTTTTGGTATTAAATATTACTCAAACCTGTGAATTTTTCATCATTAAATATTATTCACTAAAGGTGATAATTTTGTCTATAAATGTAATAACATTATCATAAAGAGTTGTAAACTCACCTCAAGAGATTATAAGCTCACCTCACATTTAGAGGTGATACTTTTACCTTTAGTGCTTGTAATTTAACCTTAAATAGTTATAACTTTATATCCAAATGTAGTAATTTTACCATAAATAGTTATAATCTCATATCAAAAAGTTGTAATCCAACATCTAAAAATGATAATTTTACCTATATAGAATATAATTTATCCTCAAATAATTATAACCACACTTTCAAAAATAGCAATTTTACTTTCAATTGTTGTAATCTTACCTAAAAAATTTATATCTCACATTTTAAGGTGATAAATTTATATCAAGAGTAATAACATTTTCTTTACAAGTAGTAACATTACATTTAATAAGTCATGATCGATCCCAATGCCATTTTTTTTTTTTTTTGTGATTCCACTCAATTAAGACCGATCATGATTTTTTTAGGATCGATCCCAATTCCAAATTATTATTATTGTTATTATTATTTTATGATTTCACTCAATTAGGATCGATCATGACTATATGAGATCGATCTTAATATTCATTAGATGGTCCAAAAATTATACCAAACTAAATTTTTGTTGATTCTAATTAAATATGATCGATCATGACTAGTTGAACTTTTTTTTTTTTGAACTGGTCTCGATCCTATATTCAGTTACATTAAATTGACATGTAATTTTATGAAATTATTTTTTAATTTTATCCAACTAATACTTAGTTCATAAAAAATAACAATAAATTGAACTTCAATTGTATTAAATCAACATTCAAAATTATAAATTTAAAATTCATAAAATTATTTTTCGCTACTTTAGAGAGAGAGACCTGCTTGGTAGACCAAATAACATTACCATTTGCAAAGACAAAATTATTACTCTTGAGATAAAGTTATCACTCTTAAATGTAAAATACAAACCCTTTAAGTAAGGTTACAATAATTGAAAGTAAAATTACTATCTTTAAAAATAAGGTTATAATCATTTGAGTATAAATTATATTCTATATAGGTAAAATTACCATCTTTAGATATTGGCTTGCAACTTTTTAATGTAAGGTTATAACTATTTATGGTAAAATTACTATTTTTGGATATGAAATTATAACTATTTAAGATTATGTTACAAGCACTAAAGGTAAAAGTATCATCTCTAGATGTGAGGTAAGCTTACAATCTTTTGAGGTGGGTTTACAACCCTTTAAGGTAATGTTATTACATTTATAAGCAAAGTTATCACCTTTAGTGAGTAATATTTAAAGACAAAATTCACAACCACATATTTGAGTAATATTTAATGTCAAAAAATTTACAGTCAAATCTTTTTGGCAGTACTATACGACTATTTGATTAGATGGTACCGTAAACACTTCCAAAATTAATAAACCTCACATAATTTATTAAATATCCAACAACTCTAAATATATTACATCAAGTGATGTAAGAAAAAAAAGTGATATCCACAATATTATTCATCATGAAATTTACCCCACTTGCTGAAAGTGGGGTTCAGGTTTTGAGTTTTCCACAATATTATTCATCATGAAATTTACCCCACTTTGGTTTTGAGTTTTCCACAATATCATTCATCATGAAATTTACCCCACTTCCTGAAAGTGGGGTTCAGGTTTTGAGTTTTGTGGGGACTGATAATGATGACAGTGACATGCACCTACTAAGCAAGATAAGATCCCATTGGATAACTTTGTAATTGTCATCCTATTGCATTTTCTGTTGTTTGAAATCATGAATTTCTAAGGTCACATTGCACACTCGCAGAAATAAAGTTTAGGTGTATGCAATCACCCACCGCCTACAAATACCATTTAAACCCAAGAAGCACTGGAAAAAATGGAATCCATAAAATCTCCATTGTTAGCCTGAGCATGTTTCATTCTGGTGATTGATTTAGGTAACCTACTTTGTAAATATGCTGTCATGATCAAACTTGATGAGTAGTCTGGTTCACAACAAGCAAGTTATGAAGACAGCCATAAACAATACAATTAGGCAGCAGAAATACTGGACCTTGCCGAATTCCTGAACTTAAAATCAATTCGTAAATTTTCCGATATTCTAGTTTAAAAGACAAAAAAAATTACATAAAGTTTATCAAGAAAAAAGAGGAAGGGCTTAATAAACTTATTTATTAAAAATCTTCCAATACACTGAACACAGATTACAAAACATAAGACCATGCACACGCAACAGGCGAAAAAGTGGACAAGCCAAGAACCTTGATTTCCTACTACAACTAGGACCAGGCTAACTTTAAGGTAGGTGTGGAAGGTGAAAAACAAGCAAAACAAACAATAATCACACAACAAGAGGCAGAGCTCTCCCAGTCCTTTCATTATGTGCCTTGATTAGGAGATGCATAGATTCAGTTCTGCAGCAGAGAAAGTACGTATGAAAGAAGAGAAAGAAACTGCAGTTTTTCGTAAGCAGACACATACTGCTGTGAATATAATAAGGCAGAAGAGAGACCTTTTAGAAAACATTTGTTTGCAAATCCTGTAGTCCAGGGTCGATATCTTTAAGTTCCTTGGCTTCGGTTGTCTCAAAAAGAGGAGCATCGAGCTTGGGAGGGTTCTGAAGAACAAATGCATATGTTAGTCCTTGATTATGAAACAAATATGCATGAATCAAGGGCAAAGGAGAACTAAACAGCATTTATCAACCTCAAGTAGCATTAGAGGTAATGATTTTAATGAGACAGCACCCTCAGATTAATCAGCAACAAATTGGATAATAACCCCTATAATTTAAACAGCATTAGTTCAGGCAGAAGATCTAGTTTTCTGTTGGTTTATCCTTCCAATAGGTTTTAACAAAGAAAATGCTTTTTAATGCAAAGTTGCAAACTGTGGTGTGTTGGACATAATGGTATTTAAAATCTTCAGAAATACTTGCACTCTGTTCTATGTAGCATTTTGAATCAAAAACATTTGGCCTTCTTATAACATTTAAAACGACTCCATCCGTGGAGTGTCATATTAGAATCTAATGATGTGACATAACATTTCAATTTTCTCTACCATGCAAGGTGAGAGCTCTGCTTTCAGTAGTAACTCCAACCCCAAAGATAAATGACCGGAATCAGATTGTCTTTCATTCTAATAGTATGTCCTTGTTTTGAGGGACTTTGATTTTGATTATTGAAACTACTGTCTTGCCCTAATCTCCTTCTTTCTCTTCTCATCCCATTCTTCTCCTCTTCTCCCTAATTCTCTTTTCTGTCTCAATCAATAATATTTTGCATCAAGTGCTGCTCAAAGCAAATGAAATCATTCCCTTCTGATGCACACTCCAAGCCAATGTACTTCAGGGTATTCTAAAGCCTGTTGAATTTATGACTCCAGCTATTTTTCAAAAGGATTTTTCTTCTAGTATGAGCAAAGTATATTAAAGCTTCTGAAATTTCTACATCTGACAGAGAGAGGAATCGGTGACATATTGGGTTAATTGGTTAAAATCATCAAGTAGGGGGAAGTGTGTACTAGCAGTGCTTTTACAAAAGAATGGAAAAGCCGCAGTAGCTTAACGAAATGCAGGTCACTAGGTAATTTGTTTGCAGCCTAAAGTATGTGGAAAACTGTTGTGTGAGCAGAACAGGTCCCATATATGATATAACACAATTTTGAAATAGGTGGAATGTATCTTGGGCTTCTTGCCCATGGGACGGGGGAATGGACTAGACATTATGACTTTGCATTACAAGACTCCCTATCGCCACAAAGATATAGAAAAAAAAAACTACAGCTATAATAAGGGAAGCCCAAACCAAATGAACTTCAAATTGAGTTTTAACATTACTCAGATTTTTGAATTTACCATGCAACGAACTAGAGCCCAGTTCACACCACGGAAAAATGCATGTCTCTTGATTTCATTTGCTCCTTCATGTGAACCCAATCTGTTTTTGGGATCTCTGTGCAGCAACCGATACATTAACTGCTTTGCTTGGAGACTTACCTGCACCAAGAGAAACTTTACTTGGATGCTTGTGGCATTGTAATTTTTAAAAACAGAATATAAGACAAGGTGTCAACTTCTGTTTGCAGTACATATAGAAATATTCTTGTTCATGAATCTTTAACGTATCTTCTAATTTGGAATTAACTGCATAATATGTTGTGTTTAGTTGACTCTCTTTTGGAGATGCAATACTGGTGTTTTAGCACCCTGTAATATCATTGAGTTACAAAAAATAAAATTCTGACACCACTACCTTACATAGAAAAGCAAATGTGGTGCTACAATTCAGGAACTTGATTATTCAGTAAGTAATATGGGGCAAAGAAACGAAATCCCACCGGTATACTTCCTGGAAATTTAATATCCTTGTGAAGAACGTTGGCAAATGTCTTTTGCCTTGTCTTTCCCCTAAATGGCGTGTATCCATAAAACATTTCATACAAAAGAATGCCTGCAAAGCAACCAGCAGTATATCAGCAAAGACATTAGGAGATTTAAAAGTTTAAAAAGATTCTGACAAATCATACATGTTGATATGGAAGTTGTAGCTTAATGTTGTGAACTTTTTTTCTTTTTCGGTGGATATCTTGATATTGTGAACTTAAGAGTCTGATAAACATTTTCATGGATTAATGCATAAAGAAAACTAATTTTTCAACTCTTTAGATAATTGTAAGATCAAAAGAACATGTTTCCTTCAATCTTGTTCATTATACTGCAAAAGCCTCAAAGAGAATAAGTTGTTTGCCATTTACTGCTAGTTAGTTCCACTATTCCCCTCATTGATATCAAAATTCTCATTCCTATGCAGTATGCCTTCCAGATTTAATTACCTTCCTAATTTTTTGTAGCTGCATTGATAAAAAATAAAAATAAATGTTTGGCAATTTTTTTCCAAACCGGCTGTTACCAAAAGTGACAGCAACCATTGGCACCAGTTTAGTGACAGCAATACACAGATTCCAAACTCAATATCAGTACTGACCATGCTCTGGAATCCCCAACAAGATAATTGGAATAGGAATTTCCATCATTCATACTTTCCCCATTTATTTGTTTCACTAATTGTATTGCTCCTGTCTATATTTAATACAGTTCCATTCTTTCATTGGCGGACCATAAAGGAACGGTCCATTTTAAAAACTGATGAAGCAAGCAGGCTTCATAAAAGGGTTCTTACATTCCTTGACAACTCCTAAAGAAAATGTCAATTCAACAAGTCCAAGTAGGATAGTCATAGAAAATCCAAAATCACAGAAAACAAATAAGACATTAAATAACTAAGCCTTGGTTTAATGGTTTTACTCTGGCAACTGTGCAACTATACGGTGTTAGGGGTACATGAATATGACAAGACGGAATGATAAACTGAGATTTGTTTCTAGAGAGATAGCAAACAAACTCATGATAATATCTGATTTTGTCAAAAAATAAAAATTACCTAGGGCCCACCAGTCCACTCCACTAGTATGGCCTGCTCCAGTTATGATTTCCTGCGTATTAGGAAAATAGCTTTCAGAATTAGATGAATTTAAATTTCGAGAAATAGCAGATAAGATGAAGATCACAAAGAACTGATTCACAATTTTGGTTGTCAAAAAAGGCATCTGCTTCCTATATGACTGAAGTTCTGGAGTGACATGAATGCCTAGAACCTCGGAACGGGAGTTTTTTGAGCAGCTCTGAGTTCTGGATGAAGAAATACATCCAGTTAAGAAAGTTATGAATGTAACAAGTAAAACGGGTGGTCAGAAAGAATGGGAAACCCTAGACCAGAAGCACAATGGATTTGTTGCAATAGCAGCAATACTATTGTCATGCCTGAGCAGTATAATATTAAAAGGCATCGAGCACAAGAAGATAGGAAACTACGTTCTGCTTCAATCAATAAACTCATGTACTTGATACAAATATTATACGCTTCAATTTGGTCTCTATCACTTTGTAATGAAGCATTAAAGCAGTTAGAGACCCTAATCAGAGGCAATATGCACATGACTGGAGATTGAGCTTCATTTAATGCAACAAACACAATGTATAGGTTGAAAAGTACACCAACCGGAGCTATGTACTCTTCAGTTCCAACAAAAGAATTTGATGCTCGCACAGGTTCGGCCATAAATATTGGATTTTGCCGAGTTTTCTGATGCTTTTTCTTTTCATTGGTATCTGGAATTAAAAGCTGCACAAAGAACGACAAACCCGATATGTTTGTTGTGATAATTATTCATTACCTCAAACCTGGCAAAGGAGATAAGAAGAAAAGAGAGCAGATGCACCTGTGGCTTGCAAGATGTCAAACAGGACAAATCAAAATCTGTTAATGTCACATGCCCGTTGAACTGAAGCAATACATTTTCGGGCTTCAAATCCCTGTAGATTATACCTGTGGGTGGAAAATCTATGTTACTTTCATTGAGAACAATCTGCGCAAGGATTTCCCTCTCTTTTTCTTTCTTATTAACAATATTACTCTGGCAGCATTATGAATCCTTAGATGCAATTGATTACCCAACTGCCTCTGAACTTATTGATTATCACTAGTAGAAATTTTGCATTAGTTAGATTCTTCAGGAAATCTGCATTACCATTTTCTGTGTAAGAAGGATGAATAGTATGGCCAAGCATGGTAACAAGGAATTTAAGCAATGATCAGTAGATAATAAGTCACAAAAGAATGGTATATGAACTTGGCAAAAAAAAAACCCATTGAATCAAATTTGTACATGATGAATAATTAATTAAGAGGTAATGACTTTGAGCATGGACAGAAATCCTTTGCTAAATGTCATTAAATACATTGAAGGAAAAATGTACACATGTGAAGATGATCTCTACCTTGACAGTGAAGGTACTCCAATGCCACGACTACTTCTGCAGCATAGAATCTACAGGCAACAACAATTTTATGTCAGTTCAATCAATGGTTTAGCAACATTAGAAGCACAGGGATAACCAACCCACTCACTAAGAGCAGAAAAGTTGACATAGAAAATACCATACATCTGTGAATACATTATTTCTGCAGTTTCCCCATGTGATGTAAAATTTTTACAATAAATGCGGTAAATTGAGAGCACAAATGATCATATGTGGTAAACCTAAAATTTTATAGCCTTACAACCAATTATACACTAGTGAATGGATCTAGAGTTTAAATATCCTTTATCTCAATCATATTCATGAAACCACCATTTGTTGGTGGCATACAGAAACACCACAAGAGATTTAGTTCTGCATTATATCAGATTTAAACTATAAGGTGAATCATGGAGTGCAACCAGTGTGTCTTTGTCACACAGTCATTATAATTGGTTTTTTTGTCTCGAGAAAAAGATTTGATATAGCAAATCCCCTTAGTGGAATGTACCTAAAATCTGGCGAGAAAATGTTCATATGCACCATATCCACCCTTTACACGCGTAAAAACAAAACAAAAGGAAAGCAGTTATTGAGACTTCTCCATTTGATCAATGAAGGGTCTGAACAGTTTCAAATTTATGTTTCTCTTACCGTACAGCATCTTCCTTCAGGACCTTCATTGGTTGTCTGTCCAGAAGCATGAAGAGCTCTCCACCGGGGCAGTAGTCTGTTATAAGACAAATATGTGTTTTGGTCTGCAAAGTAATTACATATTAGTATTCCATCAAGTCAATGTAGATAGAAGAGAAAGATTTTACATGCAAGTCTTCAAGGTATAAGACAAATGGTTGTTTTGGTCTGCAAAGTAATTGACAGATTAATATTCCAGAAAGTCCATGTAAATGGAGAGAAATATTATAAATGGAAGTCCAAAAATTATTGGATGACTTATTTTGAGTTTGAAGGGAATAGAAAGTGCAAAACATTCAGAAGAGAAAAAAAAACAATACTCAGATGAATCTTCTTAATATGGTGACATTATTTGTCACAGAGTCTTGCAAGCAAGTTAGTTTTATATTTAAATTCTTATTTGTGCACATCCTTGCAGAAGGATTAGATCTTTGAACAGTCAGTTTCTTCTCCTCGGAGCAATACACTCATTTTCCACATTATTCTCTAAGTAGGAGGTATTGGGACTCTAAGAGAGCCCAACTAATTGTTCCACACACATGCAGTCCCCATTCAACATTATGCAAATTTATGTGGATTATTAGCCTTACCTGAAACGATGCATATAAAGCTGGAAGAAAAGGGTGGTCCAACATATCCAGGATTTCTCTTTCTGCACAAGCTCTATGCACCTGCAGCAAAGGAAGGAAAGAAATCCAGTCAAAGGAAATATAGGAGCACCATGGATATGGATATGGGATACGGGTGCGATACGATTTGGATACGGTGATACAACAAAATCTAAAAAAATAGGATATGAGTACGGCCAAAATACGGCTATAATAAAATATATTTAATATTTTTAACCAACTTAATACCTATATATTTTGATAATTCTTTAACATAATAAGGAAAATTAGTAATTCTTTTTAGTTTCAAGAAAATATGTATCGTATCACTATGGTATATTCACAAAGTGAAGTGATTAATTAAAGGAATCAAAACTAATATTTATCAAGTCGGTTTATTTAGAAGTAATTTTTGCTTATACTATAATGAAATGGATTTATTTTATGCTCTTTTGACATGTAATTGTAGATAATACTTAAAAAATACTCATGTATCTTTGAAATAGTATGAATTTTTGTTAATGTATTGTATGGTATGTGAATTCGAAAAGAAATGTTAAAAATTAAACTCAAAAATTATATGTTACTTGAACACAAAAATATCCGTGAAGTATCTTAATATTTAATTATTATCAGATACGTAAGAGGTGTATCCGATATGTATCATCGAGTATCTAATGAGTATCGTATCCGATATGGATACGCCGACCTCAATGAAGTATCCGTACTTCATAGAGGAGCACCAATAGTAAATTAGTACAAACTGCATGAAATTGACACCTATAACAGAGAAATGATGTTAATAAACTATATTCCGGCTGTACCAATCTTTCACTTCTCCCTAGCTTTTGAGGATGGTGAAACACATGAGAGAGAGAGAGAGAACGTTCATGGCCTTGGTGCATGATCTATCATTCCACTTCTGTGCCAGCAATTTTATTTAGAAACATTAGTGGCTTGAAACATCAGTGGGTCATTCCATCATTTGTGCACAAAGGATTAAGGTAGAATTTGATGATTCAAAGTTTGTATGAATAATATTTAAGTGATAAAATGTTCACTTAAAGGCAATAATAGTGTGGATGCTCATATTGCCATGGAATACTACAGGAACTGTCAAAAGCATGTCTAGCCACTTCCAATTTGGTACCTTGTTGCGGTTGAGCATTATTCCCTTATCCATTGCTTTCATGGCAAAGTGTTGTCCAGTTCCACACAACTCCACTAAATGCACACTGTCATACCAGCAACAAGTAGAAGTTCGATTCAGGAACACAAAAATGGAAGAAGAACTTGGCTATAACCCCTAAAACAAGTGAAACTCCTTTGAAAATAAAGACAATAGAGAAATCCAGGATGATCAACCATAATTTTCAGCTGGTTTGCATCAAGTTCAGATGGAGAGATGCATCGGTTATTCCAACATCAGATGAATATATTCAGTAAAATCAGCCATTTTATGCAAACAATGCCATTTAGTGACTGGAAAAATTTTGAAGAACTACTAGTTATGAAAATGAGAAAAGATTGTACAAGTTGTTACTCAAATGCAATCATGGTAGAACCTTCTGAAAGTACTTGACTGTGCTTGACTGGGAAGCATATGGACAGCAAATAACGTTGTGTGCCAACTTTGATGAGTTTGATCCCATCAGTCAATGTATGTTCAAGAACAAAACAGATGTTTATTTGAGGTGGTTGTAGCAGAGTTATACTACTATTTCATGCAATAAAATCCCAAAATTGTTATAAGATAATCAATGTCAATTCACATATCAGCCAGCTGTTCTCGGTGCACAAGTTGAACTAATCACGTGATGTCCGAACACATCCCCGTTGGCAATCGGTAAGCGCATAATACCTTCCACAACTAAAGAATAATAAATGAATAACTAACAAACCTGCCAGTATCACCAGATCCCAAAGGCTTAATTGGTTTAAAATGCTTCAACCCTAACTGTTCTCCACCATCTAGAATCTGAAAATTGTGGACCACATGAGCAGACATGAGAAAAAAAGAAAGTGAATCAGCAGAACAAATCAAAATTCAGGACCAAACAAGGAACATGTGACGTCCTATTTCAAAAGACATTATTATTATTGTTTGAACATTCCAGATGTTTTGGCACAAAACCAACTAATTCTAGGTTAATATACAGTCATGATCATTAGCATTACGTGAAAACGACTAAAATCATTTGGAAAGATTGAGTTGAAGCCAATTATATTACCATTTACAGTACATTGGGTTCAACTATATAAGGAGAAGACTTGGGATGAAAACTATAAAAGGACATGCCAACAAGTTGAATTCCTCAATATTAGGATGCTTCATGTGTATATGAATCCATACCTGTTTTCCATGTATGTATGGATATATGGATGTCTATGCATGCATAGAAGTACATATGCATGTTCATACTCAAAAGATAAGAGTTCTTTAAATAAAAGTCAAAGTTATAAATTTCCTTATCTGCTTAGAGAAAGCCTCATTGTCTGCTACATTTTGGGAATGCCATAAAATGTCTTTTAACTACATAGTATTTGCGAAATCTACTTCTAAATAACGTCAAATAAGCTAGACACATGCCAATGGTGTCCAATAAGTCTCAGTACTGTGTCTCGTTCTTAAGTAGTGTCCAAGTTTCTTTTATGTATTTGAACAGAACAGTAATAAACATTGCATGTCAATTCTAAACTATAATTCTCTTTTCCTAATAACCTGACCAGCATATTTTTCTTCAAGATAAAAAAATACACAATCGAAATAAATCAGAAACATCAGCCAAAATGTTGTCATTCATACATACATCCAAGTATCATACCTTTTGAATAGCTCTCCAAGTTGGGCTGTCCTTCCTATGGGGCTTTGGGTGAACCAACTTTGAATGGTTCATCCACAAATCCTCTGGTTTCTGCATGTTGGTCAAGCGTTTTTATTAAATCTGAACTTAATCTAGTCTGAAGTTGTTTCAGTATTCTAAAAATTTGGACATTACCTGATTGGCATCTGGAAGTTCTCTTACTGCTTCATCAACATTTTCTGCAGTTTCTTTCACCTGAGAGGGACAACAATGAATGTATTGTAAAATAAACAAACCACTGGTATAGCAAAGAAAGGAATTCCAGATTACAAGAGGAATTAGCGAGGCATGTAAGGAGAGTCGAGACCAGTTTTGCACTTTCTTTTGCTGTAGCCTCAGGAATACAGTTATGAAGTGGCTCAACATGTTCACTTCCATCTAGTTGAACCCCAATGAAATACTGCACTTCTCCCTGTTTTCACAATCAAACAGTATATATAAGATCTTTGACGACGGATATTCTTCCCAATCTACAATGACTTGTGTATATAGAACTCTAAAAATGCATTCTAAGTACCTTTTGATCACGCATAGGCTGAAGATGAAACAGATTCCAGAACTTTTTGCCTGGATGATTAAACAAATAAATACATAAATAAAGGCCTTAAAGTTATATTAGCATAAGTGTAGGCTGAGGTTCTTCATATTGGCAAAGAAATGTGGCCCAAAACAAAATAAAATGGAGCTGAAATCTACATGTACCACTTTTAGTGTAGTTAATGAGCTGCACAGTTACATCTGTTTGGTTATCAATTGCCTCTCTTATTTTCCTCACAGTGGCCGGATCGGTTTCGGGTCCTTGGAGAAAACTACAAGAATTCAAACAAGTACAGACAATTAGAATAAACCAGGATGAAATCAAATATTTTTGAGATATGGTTAAAGTCATACAGGTACCATTATCAGATCCATTTTTCACTCCCCGGGAATGGTACAAGCACCGCGGGGGGGGGGGGGGGGGGGGGGGGGGGGATGCCCCCTTGCTTTCAAAAATTAAAATTGCCATCCCTCAATTTTTGTGTAATTCTCAATGGACTCCCCAATGTATTACTATTTTCTATTCCCCCACCTCCGGAAGTTTCAGAATCCCCCATATTTTCCAAAATATGCAAGAATTCATCTTGTCGCATCTCTTTTTTCTCAAAAATCAGGATTCAACCTTACTTGCATCCTTGTGTGTGAGAGAAACATCAGTTTTTGAATGTTAACCTTCCAAAAGTATAGTATCTTTACCTATGGCTTATTATACTTCAACCCTGATCATTTATCAAATAAGGAAATGAAAAAAGAAAAAGCAAACTTTAATGAGTTGTTCGTTATCATCTCTAGTATGCATACCATATAGAACCAAATGCATAAACTTATTCACTACCATTTGATGGCACAGCGCCACAGTTAGATCAAGTTTGTTATCCATCTATTCCATTAAAGGAAAATTTAATCAATTCCCTCTGTCAACACAAGGGAATTGATTAAAAACATCCATTTCTATGAGACCATGCTATAATAAGATTTTTAAAGTATCAAAATTTCAATCCTTACCGACAGTTTCTTCCCAAGATTTCTTCACGACTGTACTCTGTCAGCTCCAAGAAGCTATCGGATGCAAATATCTAAAAAGTTCAGCCATAAGATTAATCAAACAAGGAGTTAACATCTTTGTATAAGCTGAAAAGATCCCAAGATCAATACACCTTTATTGTTAGGCAACAAACTAAGGAGTCTTACAATGGGATTATCAGGCAGCCTTGGATCAGTGATGACAAAGTTTTTCTCTATACGTTCTAGTGTTGTAGCAAGATCAATACCCTTTCTCATTTCCTTCCGCCTTACTTTGTCCTCAACACTATCGGGACGCTCATCATCCCTCTCCTCATCGTCACTTTCATCATCATCATTAACAGTAACTCCAAGTTCAAACTCGTCTTCTTCAGTATTAGGACGACTTTTCTTCATAAACCTATGGCAACAAAATAATACCACTATAATCCATAAACATATACAAAATACTACTGCAAAACATGATTTTTGCATTTTTTTTTCCCATTAGCAAGGAACTGCCAAGTAAAAATAAATGCAGGTGGTTCTTCTCTTCAATTTTATTTATCCATAAAAATAAATTTTCCTTTGGATCTTGGGATGAAATTTAAAATAATAAAAAGTACAAAACCATTGTCACACATTGAGTTGTTGTTTGGAATCCCACATAAGAACATGGGAGAAGACTATGCTACCAAAAACAAAATTTGGGTACCTTGTTCTAAATTTTATAATTTTAATGGGTGTTTTTATAATTTTTGTGGTCATTTTACAAAAAAAAAATAAAAATTATATACATATATATATATATATATATATATTTGGTGGATAAAAAAACTAACAAAAATTATAAATGACAGTACAATACTATTTTTTTTTTTTTGTTTTTGATACCGTAGAACATGCAGTTAAAAAAAAAAAAAGACATCACACATTTTGACAGACATAAAGTATTCACAAAGTGACGTGAACCACACACAGTACACGTCCATGCATGCAAACAAAATACATAGAATAATGCACGTCCATGCATGCAAACAAAATATATTAAATAATGTTATTAGACTTAATTTACTGACATAATTCACTATAATCTTTGAATTAACTGTAGACTCCATCAAACATTGAAATTTAGTGTTAATTCAATGATTTCAATAAAACTACGTCATTATGTCAACAAATTATGTCATATTTTTAGGTTCAAATAGCATTTTCCAAATACATATACCAACCCATGAAAACAATCTAATACATCAACTGAACCACGAAAAGGTTATGGATAAAAATGAGTACCCCATGAAAGAACGACGACCAGTTTTTCTCTGTTTCTTTTCGGGCAGTTCACTGATTCGCTGCATTGTGGTTCTAGTGCCACCAACTGAATTACGTCTAGCCGGAACCATAGTCTCCGAGTTTCGCCGGCCAGAAGCTTCGGACCTCTCTGGTTCAGTACCACTTTCCGATTTCCTAATTAATGGACGATAGGTCGACTCACTGACAGCTCTCGCCCGTGGTGGTTGCTTCACTGCTTCCAGTAGCTCCGTTACTGAATTGGTGGCTTTTTCCTTCTGCCGGGCTGCAAAAAATGTAGCTCTTGGTATAGCAAAATATCACTGTAAATTTTTTTTTTTTGATTTATTTTTTCAATATAATTTATTAGATTCTCAAATTAAATCATCAAATTATGTGTAAATAATATTTTCTATGATATAAAACGCGCAGAAAAAAATGGTGCAAACAATTTAGTATAATTCCTTGATTTGATTTATCTATTACAAATATCTTAATCCTGACGTAAATTGTCTGCTTTTAATTTAATGGAGGGAAAATTAGTTGAAGTGTATGTAAAATGTGCAAAACCATCATATCGGATCAGAGATTCAGGCAGGCCATTGGGACGAAGCATCTGCTCCTTAGAGCCCTCTGTATGCTTGCTAACCTCCACTTGCATTCTGCCAACGCAAAGCAAAGCAAAGAAATCATATAAAAACTCCACCCTTATACTATGCATTTTTACTTTAAGGTCGTACCAAATGCATGGGAATACTATATATATATATATTCAAGTTTAACTATTCGGAAGCGATAAATGATAGATAATTTTATTCCCCATTAATTTCTCAACTCAAGCATACCAAATGGATCATTCAAAAAATAGGCATATATCATTTCTTCGGATATATATACACACATATATATACAATCTAAATTATGTACTTTTGCACCAAGTTATATATTAGTAATAGAGCTGATAATTGAGCCGAATTATTCGGGCTCGTTCCAAATTCGGCTCGTATTTTAGACGAGTCAAACTTAAATAATTTTTTAGACTCACTTAGAAAACAAGTCTAAAAAGGCTCGGTTTATACTTGTAAAATTTGACTCGTTTATATGTCAAATAATCAAGCTATTCGAGTTTAACTCGAGTTCAACTTGTTTCAGGCTCGCCTCAGATTCGGCTCATTTTTTAAAACGATATGAGTTTTAACAATTTTTTAGGATTGTTTAAAAAAATGAACTCGAGAGACTCGGTTTGAACTCACAAAATTCGATTCGATTATCATCTTTGATCAAAAAATAATATTCTCTCAAAGTGGGAGTAGTTCGGTTTTCATTTCTTTTATTTATTTATTTATTTTATGTTTACTGTTTAGTGATCCCAATAGATTTCTATTACAAACCAATAAAGCATAACATATGAAAAAGGTTTTCAGAAAATGAATGATCTGGTCATGGACCATAGGACCGGATCAAAACCAAACCCAATGCAGAGGTCCACAATCCATCACTGTCGAGCATTGAATCTAGCAAAATGCCCAAAATATGTGAGTGGCCCAAGCTGGCAAAGGAAAAGTTGGAATAATTGAAATGGGATAGGATGGGACTACATGTAGATCCTATTCTCTTGAATTGGTTAAACCAATGATTTAGCATAATCAGACGGTGACAAACAGTCCAATCAGAAATGGGTCACTTTTTCTGTTCTATTATATGAACCAGTCTAGCTAGCAAATGAGTATGTTGTGAAGGGAATTTTAACCCTCTCGATTCCAAGATTTTCCCTTTTTTTTTTCCTCATTTCCATCACCCACCATTTGTGGGCCTCACCCGTACATCTCGGGTTCGGCTCTTCTCTAGTTTCATAACAATTGAAAGATTTTTTAATTCTTTTTGAATGATTAAGTTCTATATACATAAATAAATTTAAATTGATTCAAATAATGTTTTAAATTTTTGAAATTCAAATTAAACCAAATCTCTTACGGTTTACAAATCTTACCTGTTTAAACAAAAATTAGAGAAATTTTCTATTCTTGCAAAATTAGACAAAAGCCTAACACGTGCATCTCATCATTATCGATTGAAATTGAGGGGGGGGGGGTGAATTTGTCAACCAACTAAGTAAATATTGAGTGTAACAGTTACACCACGTCAGTACTATCGCGTTGTGTAACCGAGCAATAACAAACAAACAAATTGACAAATGAACTCTATTTTTTGAATATATGATAATTATTATCTTACGTATAAGGGTGGTTAATCGTTGAGTTTGAATAAATCGCTTTGGGTTGTGGGGCTTACTTCTTAGCCCTAGTGTGTGACTAATATTATAGGTCTTTGGGCGGCCAAAAGGTTGTCACGAGTAAATCAATTTGGGAGATTGAATTTGGGAGATTGAAGGCAATTTTCTGTACACTGAACACGTAATTTACTAAATTAGTGGCAATACGAATAAGAATGCATGCTACGAAAGATAGGGTCGAGTCTGATACATCAACAATCTATTCAATATCTTTGTACAAATTATATCACGTGATAATAGTAAACAAGATATAACCATTAGACCTAATATTTACTCCAACTTGAGGGCATTGGAACCGGGATGAGGACAACCCAGATGGGAGAAAATTAAAGTAAAAATTATTGGAGTGATACGGAACCAGACGAGGCGCTTCCTGTTCCATGTGGTGTGATAGGACATTGACAGAGTGTTTGGGGACCCATAAAAATTATACAACTGGAAATGGAGCACACTTTAGCCCTTATATCCAATAGATTTCCTGTTGATAATCTATACTCTATGCAATGCCATGTGGTGGGACCATCTACCATGGTTGGAATAAATGTACCTATCCTGAAGTTCTAATATAAGTTTTTTTTAATAGTTAAATATGTATACGTCAATTTACGTGCAGTTCAATTAATTTTTTTTTTGATTCGGTCAAAGATTGACTATTTACACTAAAACTAGAGTATTCATAAGAGATAAATTTCTTATAATTTGACCCCAATAAATTATCAAAATTTAAATTCAGGACGTCTAAATTTACAACTCATCCCTGTTATCACTTAATTACCCCCTTAGAGTTAAGTCTCTTACTGCCAATATTGATTTAAACAAACCGTTGGAATTCAAATTACTATAATACCCTAGTATGTCTTGTATTAACTTAACTACCAAATTAATATTTGGAGTTTGGAGAAGGAATAAGTAAGACATACCACGTATATAATCACTCACTCGTAAATCATATAGTTATATGAATACCCGGAAAGATTTCAACATGAAAGATTTGGTTCCTACACTGTTCTCTCGGGTTGGGATACTTGAGTATCGATGTGGGTTTTCTATACGGGAATGAAATTTTGAATTAAAATAAACTCACCCGATGAATTTGAGAACTTTTCCCGTTTCATCCTTGATCGGTGAAATGGTGAGGAGGTTCCAGAAAGGTGTTCCATCCTTCTTGTAGTTCAGCAATCTCCCACAATAACTAACCCCTGCCTGTAACGTTTCTCTGATCTTTGCCACATCTTCCGGATCTGTACCTGCACCCTGTAAGAACCGGCTGGACCCGACCCAACAAAAATGTATCAAATACAATCTTGTCCGATTTTTATCCGTTTCCAAATTTAACTAGTTGGGTATGGTATAGATTAATAATTTTTGCCGATAAAAAGAAACTAATTCAAATTCAAATCGTGATACGAATCGATAATTAGTAATAACAGTAATAAAGAACTAAACAAAAGGTTTGTCGTACCAATTTCTGCCTATAACCTCCCTTGATGTGTAACCAGTCATCTTGAAGAAGCCAGCACTTGCATACATGATCGGAAAATCGGGTTTTGTGGCGTCGGAGACCACAAAAGTTTGTTGAAATGCCGATAATGCATCCTTCAAGTCCTCAGACACCCTTGGAAACCCCCTCTCCTTACCTGAATAGTAACAAAATTTCTTGATTTATAACCAAATTTGTAAAATTTTCAGCACATTAATTCTTGAAAATTATGTTTTTTTCCTGGAATATTTTTTCTCCTCCCAAATTTGTCAGTGCACTTACCTGCTCCATCATCTGAGAATTCACCGGAGCTTCGCACTGAATTACCGGAGTCCTTCCGAGAACTCCCATGCTTATTATTCTGTTCTTCGGCGGACGTTCTTACTTTGACCCCTTGTGGTTTACCAGTCTCGGTGTCTGTCTTCAGCACCAATCCCCACTCCGCCGCTCTTTGTGCTGCGACACCAGCTTCCCCCGGTGGCTGAGACTTCGCCGGCGACTTTTTCCCGTCCTGGTCGTTGATGATTGCCTGTAAGCTCTTATGGGTGACTGGTGATGACTGGCGCTGTTGATGTTGCGACGGTGGTGGTGATGGTGGAGTGGGGTCCTTGAGGGCCATCCATGACGTGATTTCGCCGGCGTTTGACCTGCCGGACTTGGATGAGAAAGTGGCGAGCTCCGGCTCGGGATGGGTGGTGGGCTCTACCCAGCTTTGCCAAGAGGGTTGGGGGCGAACAAAGCCTGGTCTGGCGGAGTGGGTTGATGGATTGAACACTTCGAGCGAGCCACGCGAGTCTTTGGGTAGAGGTGGCATGACTGACGAGTTCTTGTGTGCATGGCTTGATGGTTCCATCTCTGCATGGGGTTTACATACACCCAATCATAATATTTATATATATATATATATATATATATGCATCCAATAAACAAATGATTATGATAAAGATTCCAACTATAAAAACAGTCTTTTTATATCTCACGTTACAACTTAAAATCTAAACAATGTTAGATCACATGATCAGAATCTCGTACATTAAACTACGCTCGAGGGATTAGCGTCTTCTATTATTAATTGGTGACCAAATTTTGAAATTAAATTTGGAGTTCAAATGACATGACAGCTGACTTGATTTTTTTATTTGGTGTCATATCATTTGGGTCTCAATAAAAACTCTAAATAATATGTTGTCAAGTCATTTGAGCTTCAAATTTAATCCCAAAATTTAATCAGCATAGCATTACTGTTCCTTAAGATATCAATAATGCCAAGTTGCCAATGCTTAACTAAAAAGTATTGCAATATTTTTTTTACAGATTATTTAAATTTGTGCCGACTATTTTCTAGAGTTTTGAATCGATAACTATAATTCAAATTAATTTAAGTACATATTTTTTGAGGAACAAAGATGACTAATCTTTAGAAGGTGCGAGAAGTATCAAACCTAAGACATATTACTTGCAAGAGGAAAAACTTAATCGTTGGACAACCCCTAAGAAACCCCTAAGAGACATGTATTACAATTATTTTGCTAAAACTCTAACTATTTTTCCATGGATAAGATTCAAACACCACTTTGCACCCATGGACCAATAGGGAATAGGGTTGCCAACAACTTAAAAAGCCCCAAAATAATTTCAGCATCATTGATAAGATTGTGTTGACGGACCAAAGAAATGAGATCCAACACCTATATTCATATACCCAAACTTGCACGGTGGGACATACAACCGAAAAGAGCTTGACTTAGAGGGCGTGAAAGACAGTGATCTTTTGTCACTGATATACATGATTTGACAATAACCTCACTATAGAGAAGATTGTATAAGAGTCAATAAAGGCAGAATCAAGGGCATTTAAGACATCTCAAACACCCAAACTGAACAAATATATGTTAGTTTGTGGTTTTGTTCACTTGAAGAACTCTTAACACCTCACATTTCTAAGGGTAGTTTCGTCAAGTCGGGACATTTTTACGTTACTGTCAAAACAAGCTAACAGAACACGTAAATGTCTACCCCTATAGATAAATAAGTTCACCCGGAGCACATGTTTACGAAACTAGAGGTCTTAAGTTCAAGTTTTCTTGAGATCTTAAGTTTAATTTTTTTCTTAAGATTACTCCCAAGTTTGTCGAGGTAATTGTTAGGAGGATGTGAGATAAAGAAATTGCATGTAACTGGAAAAAATTACTCTTAAGTGCTCTAAAATACACGAATACCTGTTAATTTGAAAAACTGATTAAAACCCATAAAGGAAGAAGCCACACTAAGGCAATGTCTGGGTAGTTGGTTAATTAAAGCACATCAACATGTAGACCATAGGTTTGCTGTCGTGAGAGTGATGGTGGGTGACAGGGCAAACACCTTTTTACAAACTAGAACCATGTGAACAAACGATTAAAAACAATTACTGAAGAAAATTCAGTACAACAAACAACATTAAATCATCAAAAGCAAGCAACAAAAGATCTTCAGAGTTTTGGGAGAAAAAAAAATTTGATGGGACAAACAGAACTTTTAAAAGTCTCTAAAAATGAACATAATCAAACTTCAAGTTCTTCATTTTCGTATGACAGACACAACAGAAATCGCCCCATGAAAATCGAAACTATCACTAATAAATGAAGGCTAATCAATTTTTAGTTAACAGTTTTTCAACCACCAAATACAAAAGTTGAAGAGAATTATATATGCATATAGATACAGTACCTCAATATGAAGCTGAATTAGTCCTTGGCCTTCACTCTGACAAACAAACTTGAATTGTGCAGTACTGAACAAAGTTGATTTAACAGATCTCCTTTAACTTCTGTGTAGAGAGAGAGAGAGAGGGGGGGGGGGGAGGCGACGAGGAGAAGATGAACCGGGGAGGGGGAGGAGTTTTAATGGGGGAAAAGGTGAGAGAAAGAAGAAAGAATGATTGTCGAAAAGGTTTGGCTTCCCATCCCTGTACACCTACCAATCACATGGCTATGCACTAATCTCTATGCCATTCCAAATCCAATCATGAAAAATAGAAAAACACTTTGAGGAAACAAAAAAAAAACTGTTGGTTTTTTCTCTGCTTCTTCCAATTTCTCTCATCAGCTCCACCGATTTTTCCACTTTTGGATTTGGATTTTAGTTTTTTTGGTGTACAGACTGGAATGGGTTGGCTCCAAAAAATAGCTTGAAAGAGACGAAGCAAGAGAGAGGTGGATGGTTATGGAGAGGGTTCAAAAGCACGTTTAGAGTCTGTGGACTGGACTGGTGAGACACCGTTTTGGTGTTTTAGACAGTGCTTGGTTGCTGGTGTCCTTGTGGTCTCACTAGCGGCAAAAACAAAGAAAATGTATGGACTGAGAGAGGATAATCTTACTTAAAGTGGGAATGACAATTATGTTTGTTTATTGATGGGAATTGTGGGTCAAGATGTATCAGAACCCGTATTAATAGGACTAAGAGTTAGAGGGTTGAAGTCTTCCTCAATCACTAGTGTACTAAATGAGTAAATTTAACACGACAAGATTAATAAAAAAATCAAGTATTTGTGAAGCAACTCAAAAAATAATATACGATATGACTTGTTTATATATCTGTTATACACGACACAAATCCGATAGACACGAATTAATAAACGAATCGAGTATGAGTATAAAATTTTTTGACACGAATCCGTTAAGATCCAACATGAAGCCGTCTCATCTAACACGATAAATAGACCTACTTGTTGCGACTCAATGTAATCTTTATGTCCTATTTAAATGTAGTTAGATATATGAGCTTTAAATCTAAGATACTGCTTTTTTAGAATTTTTGGTTACTTAAATCATTTTGATTTACACATGGTCCTCCTCTCCCTCTCTTTATCATTTTCAACTTTCTCATAAACTTTGTCTGATTAAACTCTCAAGTCTTATTCAAACTCCCACTACTCTTACTTACTTTTTCTCAAGTAACATATTTTATAACATTAAATTATTTAATAACAACACATTGATCTCATCAAATAAAATCATTTCTTGTGGCTTATATAATCACTCCAAAAAAAAAAAAAACTACTTTAAATTCAAATTTGTCTTCCTCTTTAATTTAGATTACTAATAAGTAATTTTTCAATAATATTGAAGTCTGGGGAGGGTGGGATGTGGTTGCAATAAGGGTAAGGGGTAGGGGTAGGGGTAGGGGTAGGGTAGAGTGGCGGTAGGGTGGTGGGATTATGATGACTCATATTGTGGCAATTGTCCTCAAAATATACTCTCCATCTCATTTTGGTTCCCTAACTTTATAATAGTATCACATTAGTTCCTAAATTATTCAATTTATTTTGAGTAGTCCTCACCCATGTGTCAAAATCTTTAACAGTTTTCTCCCCATATGCAAGTCACGTGCCCCTAAATGGAGAGAAATATTCTTGCTTAGGTCCAACTGTCGTGAGGTTTATGTTAATGCCCTCTTATTAGTTGCATATGGGGACAATACAAGTAGGGGTCATTTATTCCCTACTATCAGTGCAAGAAGATTGTAAATTCCCACTCTTGTATTGTTCTCCTCTTGTTACTCATCACCTACAAATGAAAGGAGGGAATGACACAAGCCTAAGGTAGTTGGATCTTGGTGGGAATGAACAACACCTTTTTTTTTGGTGAAGTGGACGGTGATTTGTCCAATATGCTCTTCATTTTGGGCACGTAGCACATGTAGAGAATGTTGTGTTTTTTTTTGTGGAGTCTAGTTTGTGTGCGATTCAGATGATAATTCGACTCGAAAAATATTACGTAATTTTTTAATGAAAATTTTCTGAGACTTAGTCCATAGAACAGAGGTTTGAGCCCGTTTTGTAGCTCTGTGCTCAGGACATATATAAGTTGTTATTCGGTTATTAGGATTTTTGGATTGTCGCCTCCCTCTCTGTATTCTTTCTTGAGAATAGTGAAATTCTTGCAGTGTTGTGGACGTAGACAAATTACCGAACCACGTAAATTATGTGTTGTATGATTGTTTGGATTGCATTCTTATTATTTTTTTCATTAATTTCA